TGAGAGCTGTGTTCTTTGGAGGTCTAGAGAATGCAAAGGCTCTCCTCCTGGCTGTGGTTCTCAGATCCTCCTGTGCTGGAGCTTTTGCTGGAGCTCATGGGAACTCTCCCAGGTCATACCATCAGGCCCCCACGGAGGCCTAGGAAGCTGGCACAGCTTCTCCCAGGCAGCCTCAGGGTGTCTCTAGGGGCCCAGGTGAGACATTCACTGGGCTGCCTTAGGAGCTCCAGGGAGTGAAAGTGGCTGCCTGGAACCCTGAGCACCAGGTGTTTACCTAGAAATTGTGCTAATCCCACTAATTCCCATGATTTGCACAGACTCTTGGCTGTCTCTTGTCTATCTCTCTGGGAGGGGTAGGAAGGGGAAGGCAGCAGCCAGGGATGTTGTGGGTACTGCCTAGGTGCCCCCTCTCACTAGATCAGTGCCCTGAGGGGTACCTGGATCCCAGGTGTTTATGTGTGTACAGCTGTTCCCTGAACTCTGGCATCGGCTGGCAAAGTCTGGGTGCTGGGATTCTGAGTATATGTTCCCTTCCCTTTCTAGCACATGCCACATGCCTTGCTCCTATGGTAGCTTTTCCTCAGAGAAGGACTGGACTAGAGACCTGGCTTCTCTTCCTTTTCCCTCCATGGGGAGAAGCCTTAGGCACACTCTCCTGCCAAGCCAGGGCCTCCTCCTAGGCAATATGAAGGATGTCATCCCCTCTGCCACTTAGCAGAGCCACATGCTGCCACTGCTGAATCTTTGCAGATTGGTGTCTTGAAACAGAATACCAGAGATTCAGCAGTATTCAGCAGAAGTTTATTCCTCATTGTTGTAGAGGCTGGGAAATTCAAGGTCAAGACTCTAACCTTGTAGTCTTGTGAATACCTGAACCTTGTGGAGAATGCTATTACTAAGAACATCCATGGCCTTTCTTTCTCTTCATTCTAGTCTTCCTGTGTCCCTCGCAGAGCTTGTCATAGTCTCTGCTCTCTCCTTCCTGATGTCACCAGGACTAAAGTCTAGAGGCTCTGAATTGTGTTTAGAGTGGGTTGGCTTGATGTCTTTCAGGAGGGCTGGCCCTTTCTCCCTGGAATTGGAGCTAGGGCTTGATCATCCTGCCCAGATTTGGTCACATGCCCTGACCCTGAGGTGCCTCAAGGCCCTGTTTGTTTTTGGTTCACAGAGACTCAAGCCTCAAAGGAAAAACCTGACTCCCTGCGCCTGCCTTATCCTCTTGGCAAGAGAACTGAACACCTGCTCAAGTGGACCTAAAGACTGAGGGGTCAATCAGTGAGACTATAAGGAAGCTGCTAGGGGTGTGCTAAAGGTCTTCATTCAAGGGACAGCTCACTATGGGGCACGGGAGTACAGACAGCTTGGTTCAAGTTGTAGCATAGTCACTATTAGAAGTGTGTCTTTGGGCTTGTTACTTCACCTCTCAGAGTATAGGTTTCCTCCTACATACAATGTTTTGAGGATTAAAGGAGCTTACCCTATAAAATGCTTGTGTTCAGTAAATGCTTTGATAGGAGTATGTTGTTACCTGTCAGCTGTCATATTGATTTGTGTTCTATATCCAAATGCAAAGGTTGTTTCAAAGTTGGGCCTACATGCCTTCACCTAAACCTATCAGAGGAAAACCTGGGCTGTCTCAGAAACTACTTACATTTAAAAGAGCTGTGAGTTTTTAACTTTAAAGATCCACTTTATTTTATTTTATTTTATTTATTTTGTCAGTTGTGGGGCTTGAACTCAGGGCCTAGGCCCTGTCCCTGAGCTCTTTTTGCTCAAGGCTAATGCTGTACCACTTTGAGCCACAGCTTTGTTTCTGGTTTTCTGGTGGTTTATTGAATCTCATAAACTTTCCTGCCTGGGCTGGCTTTGAACCGTAACCCTCAGATTTCAGCCTCTTGAGTAGCTGGGATTACAGGTATACGTCACCAGCACCTGGCTTAAAAAGCTACTCTTAAAGAGTGACTCTAATCAAGGTGCACTATACACATAAATGGACATGTTAAATAGAAAACTTTTTGTGCAACAAAGACGTGTGTATGTGTGAGAGAGAGGGAGAGAGAGAGAGAAAGAGAGAAAGAGAGAAAGAGAATGAGAGAGTGCAGGAGAGGGAATTATAGTTGTGATGATGAAGATAATCCAAGGTGTTGAGTAGGGACATAATTGATGGCTGTAGGTCTCTGACCAAGTGCTAGCAGGGCCAGGGAGCTTCCTGGAAGAGGCAGCATCTGAGTGATATCTTTAAGGCAGAATTAAGGAGTTCATCAAACACAGAAAGGATGACAGCCTTCCTGGAGTAGCAAGGCCAGCCAAACCTGGCTTGCAGGTGAGACTGGAGGCCACAAAGTCTCAGTGCGGGTGTGGCTGGAGGAGGAAGTAGTAAGATGGTTTCTAGGAAGATACCCTAGTCTAGAGCCAAGGATGATTTGGTTAGGATTAAGGGCATAATAGGTGTGTAGGACTTTGGAGGGAAGATACAGTGCCTGGCAGCCGGCTGGGAAGATGCTCTGGGAGCTTAGTGATGATGATCATAGCCTACAGGGTGTAAGAAGAGTTAGGAGAAGAGGAAGGTAACCAAGGCAATGTAGGGAAGGTGACTGTGTGGGTTGGTACCTGCGGCCATGCTATGTGCAGTGAAAGAGTGGATCTGGCCAGGCTGCATTGCTGGTATCCTTTCTGATATCCAAAGTCCAAGGAAATCCATTTTAAACTGGCTTAAATGAGCACACAATGCTTCCTGAATCCCTAGACAAGAGTGTACCCCACAATTCACACAAACCATCAAAGTCTTCTTCTGCCCCTTCTGCCAGAGTTTCTTGGGTTTTCTGGGAAAGAAGCTTGGAAAGACTGTGGAAGATGGCTAGGTTGGTGCTGACAGACAAAGCCAGGAACCAACCAGGCTGTGGTCCCTCCTCTGTATCCCACCCTACTGTTCTTGTGTATCTGTAGTTCTACAGATTGTGTGGATTTAACAACTAAAATTCTAGAGCCTATCTGGGAAAATTTGGTTTTAAGGCCACTAGAGATGGAGCTGACTGCTGCTTGGTAATCTGCAAGTCCTCTGCCTCCTCCTTTCTCCTCTCCCTCTCTTCTCCCCTGCCCCTCACCCCTACACTAGCCTTTTTCCAAACAGCAGCCTTGAACCTTTCTGACTCCAGGCTCCATCTACCTGCTTCTTTGGCAGTCAAACTGATTCCTGATTTCTGCCTCTGAATGTTCTTTCTCCCCTGCTCTGTCTTGGTAAATGAGTCTACCATTCATTCATCCTAGCTCCCAGCTAAAAATACGTCATCTTGAGTGCCACCTCCAAAAACTGTATTATCAGAGTCTGCAAGTGATGAAGCATCCTGCCAAAATGCTCACTTGGACCCATTGCCAGCTGGGAACCTGGGCCCTGTAACTAGCTGCATGTTTCTGCCTTAACCACGAACCCAACTTTTCCCATCTGTCCAGCTGTCCACATTCATCCAGCACCAAGACTGATGGCCATTGCCTTCAGATTGTATCTACCTTTCATCCACTCCACAGCTACTGCCTCTATCTGGACCACCATTATAGCTGAAGTATTAAAGGTTCTCCTGCTCCTAAAGCCTGCTTCCCATGAATGACAGTGTGATCCTTTACACCAAGGGCCATGTCCTGTTTCTCTTCTGCCCCAAGCCTCCAATGCCTGCTCTCCTTTCACCTGGTCTTGGGCTCAATCTTGCTTTTTGTGTTCCCTTATGCATCCTGTCTGCAGACATCCCCAGACTGGAGTTAGAGCAGTACCTTCTCTCTCTGCCTGTCCTACTCTTTTCTGTCTTTCTCCTTTTGTATTCTATGCCCCTCCCCTCATTGAAATAAAGCCTATCTTTACTTTCCCCCTATGTCTGTATCTTAAGTAAATGATAAACATCTGCTGAATATTTCTGTAGCGTAAGGGACTAGAAGCACTGCTCTAGTGGTAGAGCACCAGCCTGTGAGTGAGGTAGTGAAACCCTGAGTTCAAGCTCCCGGCCTGGTGCAACAGAAGTCTTCTGTACATGATGTGATGTCTAATGCACAAGAGGTCTTCAGAGTATATTGACAAATGAGATGAGTCCTGGATGGCTGGAGGCAGCATGGCAGCTAGGACCTCTCTTCAGAGGACCACTGGGTCTTGTTAATTTTGTTTTCATTTTCCCGATGATGCTTTCTGATTCATGTGTGTGCATGTGTGTATGTTTGTTCTCAGCTAGATTTCCATTTTCTGAAGCAAAGGCTATGTTTAAAAACTTGTTTTAAACAGCTAATTCAAGTGGTTTATACCTGTAATCCTATCATGAGGCTGAGATCTGAGGAACACAGTTCAAAGCCAGCGTAGGCAGAAAGGTCTGTGAGATTCATCTCTGATAAACAGCAAAAGACCAGTAGTGGATCTATGGCTCAAGTGGTAGACACAAGCTTTCAGTGAAAAACCTAGGGTTAGCACCCAGTCCCTGAGTTCAAGCCCCAGAATCGGCGTGTGCATCCTAAGGTTTGAACTCAGGTCTGCGCATTGACCCTGAGCTTTTTTGTCCAAGACTAGCCCTATCACTTGAACTCTACTTCTGGCTTTTTTTTGGCTACATAATTTAAGGTAAGAGTCTCATGAATTTTCCTGCTTGAGCCAGCTTTGAACCACGATCCTCAGATCTCAGACTCCTGTGTAGCTAGGATTACAGGTGTGAGCCACTGTGCCCAAGCCTGCCTGATTCCATTTTTTCATGGTGATTCTTCCTGCTGCTTTATACTCTCCTGCTTGGATTTTTTTTTTTAAATCTGGATGAAAGACAACCAAAATGTTTGGTTGTTGTCCATTCAGCAGACCCAGCAAATTCTAGGGTGGATAGTTCTCCAAATTAATTAACCCCTCCCTCCCATAATTATTAGAGAGTGAGAATGGAGTTGGTTGCTGTAGAAGCAAGCAGTGGTGTGAATCTGGGCTGGCTCTTCCCAGCTGGTTTGGGTACAGTGTTGGTGAATGTCTTTGTCATCTCTGGCAGGGTCGCCACCCAGGACTATGAGCGGCTGAGATGGAGACGTCTTCCCCAGCCACTTCCTTGGAGAAGAAAGAAGCCAAGAGTGGAATCCTGGAGTGCAGCGGTTTTCCCGACCCGGGTAAAAAGGCCTGTCCTCTTGCTGTGGCGGCTGCAGCGGCTGTAGCTGCCCAAGGAGGTACTTTCTGTTTTGTGCATACTTGAAGAACAGCAGGGGTGTTTTTCATTAGCCTGTTAGGATTTAATGAGAGTGTTGGCCTCTGTCATAAGGGAGGTACTTGGGGTTTATGGAGGGTGGTAAGGAAGGCCCCCCTGCTCCCAGGAATCTCAGGCCTTGTGACCATCACCTGCAAGTTTTCTTGGAGGTCTGGCAACTCCCATCACTGGACACTAGGCCATCCGGGACCCTGGTGGGTGGGACTGAGCAGGGGTGGGGGAGGGGAAGAGATGCAGGCTCAGCGGGCTGTTGGGTGAGTCTGGGGTGTGCCCAGCTGGCACATGTGAGGTATGCCCAGAGAACTTCTTGCCTCTTGCCCGCTGAGGACTATTTCGGAGAGTAATTGTCTCCTGATGCCTTCTGGCTGTAATTAGAGGGTCAGGTATGGAATTTAGTATCTTAGGTGAATTTCTGGCCAACTTAATTATAGCAGAAGGGACTACATGAGCCACAGCCTCTCATTTTACTGCCCTGAAGAGAAATGTTCTCTGCTTTCCACTGGTCTGTGCCAGTTTCCCGGTGGGAGAGTTTGGCGGGAAGGCAAGACCTCCCCTCATCACTGTGCCATCCATCTGGAGGCCACAGAACTATTTCTGTCTCTGAGGAACAGAGAGACTGGGATTTCTTTTCTTTCCCTTCTTATTCAAGTGCATTTAGTCATGCCCTGCTGCCCTCACTGCCCAAGCGGAGCTTAGCACAAGAGAGGGAAGAAAACGTGCCTTTTCTTCACACTTTGATGAGTGCATAATCACTGGGTCTTATTAAAGTACAGACCCTGAGTCAGACCCTGGGGTGAGATTGAATTTGTGTGCTTCTCTCCAGCACCAATGGTGTGTCACTAGTCTTTGGGCCACAGTGGGTATGGCTGGGGACAGAGCTTGGGTACATGGAAGGACTTTGGAGAGTGTTGGAGTCGTACTTGTCAGAATGAAGTGGAGGACCTCCAGGTCATTGTTTGTTACTTTGTTTGTTTATTTGAGCCAGTACTGGGGCTTGAACTCAAGGCCTGGGTACTCTCCCTTAGCTTTTTCATTCAAGGCTGACATTCTACCACTTGAATCACATCTCCACTTCTGGCTTTTTGCTGGTTCGTTGTTGATAAGAGTTTCACAAACTTTCCTGTTCAAACTGGCTTCTAGCCTCAGTCCTCAGGTCTCAGCTTCCTGAATAGCTAGGATTACAGGTGTGAGCCACCAGTGCCTGGCAATATATGTATTTTTATTTTGCTTCTGATTGTAAGTCTTCATTGAGTTTTTGGGTCAAGCCAGGAGAGAGAGATTTGAAGTCAGTCTGGGAGGTGGGCCTCTGGCCTCTGACCTTGGCAGGGCCTCTCTAGGCCTCTTTAGTCTGTGGGGAGGGGATTTCAGGGGCTGGGAGAGCAGCCAAAACTGTTAAGAAGAGCCTAGACCCAGGTGTCACAGGAAGGGAAAGAGGGAGGGAGGAGGGGGAAGGAGAGTGAGAAAGAGAGGGAGAGAGAAGTGGAGATGGTATCCCAGCAGTCCAGGCCAGGTGGATTATAATGGTGCCTCAGGCTGTCCCTCTGCCTGATTGTCTAGGTCTGAGCTCCTGGTTGCCCAGGAACCTGACTTCAGTGGCCTTGCATCTCCAGTGTGCAGTGTAATTCAATGATTGGTCATGGCAATAGAAAACAGACTTAGGCAATAATTAGAGAATAATTAGACTTCCGTTGGAGGGGAAAGCCTCATCAGACCTGGTTGTTACATTAGAGCAACAAATGCTTAAGGACTTCTCCAGTAGAGGCCCAAAGCATGGCGCAAGTAGGTCCAGGGAAGCGGCTTTTCCAGCTCTGCCTTCTCTAGGATGCCCAGGGCATTAGGCACAGAGCAGATTTGACCCACAAGAGCAGGCAACTTGCTGGCCATGCAGGCCTTTCAGGATAGGCTCATGTGTGGCTGGGGAGTCAAAGGGAGGTCCATAATGTTCTCCATCTCCCTGCCCCTGTCTCTGAGCAGCTAATCTGGGAGTGAAGAAGAGTAGCTGTTTGTGAGTAGACATAGCTGACACTGTCTGCCAGAGCCCAAGTAGCAAAGCTGGGTGGGTCTCCACAGTGGCTGCAGTGGAGGATTGGAAGTCCACTAGTGCACACTCCCTAGGCCTGGTTTTCCTGATTCGGTTTGTGAGAGGACTGGACAGATGTTATCCACTGTCTTTAGGATCTCAGGAACTTGTTCTTCCAGAAATCCTCCTGGTTGGAAGCAAAGATGCTATGAGCAAGACTCCCAGTTCAGTCAGACACTTGAGTAGCAAGGAGCTTCAGAGTCTGCAGGCCTTTCTCCCCAAGAGTGTGGAGCAAATACATGAAGCCAGAGTCAGGCATTGGCAGGTGGTTTCTTAAACACTAGAGTGGTGTAGAAGAAAATGTGGGTAGGTGAGGAGCAGAGCCAAGGAGGGCAGCACATGGAGCCAGAAGCATTTGTTTCAGCTCCTGAATCCGACGCTTGGCCAGCTGGCACAGGGCTGCTGGTGGATGAGGGTGAGGAGGGATGTGAGGCTACACAAAGGCCTGAGAGAGGACAGCATTTAGGGGAGCATGTTGGGCTGTAGGAAAAATGCAGGAAGCTGGTCTGGGACAGCTGAGGCATGAGTGAACTAGTTTCTAGGAGCTGCTTAGGTGATCACTCAGTCATCTAGCTCATTTTTGGTTCAGTTGGCTCCTTCAAAACTTGCTACACTGTTCCCTAGAGTTGGCCCCAGGATAGGCAACATCTGGCTGCAAGGGACAGTTTAGGAGTCAGTGGATGGGTGGGTTCTGTCTGTGGATGGCAGGAGCATTGTGATAAGGAATAGGTTGTTATGAAAAAAGGGCCAATTCTTCAAACTGTCAGTGACTATAAGTTGCCCCCATACTGGGGACATGCTATATTCTGAGCTATTTTCCCTAGTCTCATATGATCACTTCTTGGTTCCTGGTGTCCTCATCCCACTTGTAGAGCTATATGACTTTGGTTGATTCTAACTGGAACATACTCTCAGGCAGAAAGATTTCCTTCAGGCAGAAAGTATGGTCACATAACTTATATCTGTGAAAACTGGAACTATTTATGGATGGGGTTGATTAATCAAACTGGAATGTTTAGAGAAGGATATTAAGAGTTTATTGAAAATATTAATCAAGGGCTACTCAAGAGGTAGAGATAGAAGAATCAAGGTCCAAGCTAGCAAAGTTAGCTTTGACACCTTATCTGAAAAACAAGCTAAAGCAAAAGGGAGTGACCCAAGTTGTAGAGCCTGAGTTCAATCCTCAGTACTGGAAAAAGAAAACAGTGAAACAAAACAAAACAAACAGAAGGAAAATATTTATTAAGACTTCACAAACACTTGAGGGAGAACATGTTTGTGTTGGAATATGAAGGAAATGAAGCAAGATATGGCTGATGAGGAACTCTGTTAGAAGCGAGGTAGAACTGAAAGTGAGGAGGCCAGAGCCCAAGTAACAAAGCTGGGAACACTGAGGTTCTAGCTCCGAATTCACCAATAAATGGAGCCTCCACCTCCCAGAGGACCAGGTGGAAATGGGACTGGCCTAGGGCCACCAGCTACCTCAGCAGACATCTGGGCCTGGACTTAGGGTTTGAGTACATTTCTGGTACAGTCATCCCTCCATAAGCTCAGTACTCCTTTCTCTTGGACCCACCCTGTTTCTGCCCCATGCTTTGGCTCAGGAAGTGGGGACAAAGGATGGACACCTCTAACCCCCAAATGTGGTCTAGCTTTGGGAATTTCAAGACCCCTGTAGATACCAAAATCTGAAGATGAGCAAGTCTCTTACATCAGATAGTGTAGTATTCACATTTAACCTATGCATCTACTTTTAATTTTTCTCTAGCTACTTATAATACTATGTAAGATGCAAATGCTACTTAAGTAGTTATTACAAGAATGTTTGGTAGCTAACACCCCTTTCTCCCTTTCTTGTCTCCCCCACCCTGCTTTCCAGAGTATTTTCTAACTGTTATTGGCTCAATCTGTAGACTGTATTTTCTTTTAGATCATTACTTTAGACTATTTGGAAGGAACTGGGACTGTAATTGGGATCCAGATCCACCATATGGTATAAATATGGTGATATTTACTATGGTATTAATATCAGTGTTGGAAAGGCCTTCCCGGTGTCACTGTGCCTCAGTTCCCTTACCGGTTCTGGGGCTGCAAGCATCTGTTCACTTGAAGATAGACAGTTCTTTGGTATTGGGGCCATGGTATAGCTGCAAAGTTCCCTGGCTCCACTGGCCTCTGCTGCTTGATTTCCCTAGGAATTCCTGAGACTGGACCTGTTCAGGGCTGAACATTCCCGTCAGTCTCCCTTCCCTGAGTAAAGCATGCATGGGAAACCTGTCTGGGAAAGGCTGGGAAAGGGTTCATTTCATCATCTGGTTTGTAAGAGTTGTGGCAGAAGCCTCCAGGGTGGCTTTTTCTCAGCCTCTTCAGCTGCTGTGCTTACCCTTTGGAGTCTATAAATCTTTAAAAAACACATTTTGACTTGGAGTTTTCTCCCCTCTAATTTTTAGAATGGTGTAATTTTAAAGGCAATTTGAGTCAGATGTTTCTCATTGCTTTACACTGAAACCATCCAAAAGCTGTCATATTTTCCTCCTTCACTGTGGGGTTTCCTTCCCCCAAAATGTTGCTGAACCTCTTTGTGTGCTTCATTGGAGGAACAAGGATTGGGTTGTTCTAAGCCTGGAGTCAATCTTGAAACTTAGAGCTCATGATTTTGCTTATCTCAGAAATCAAGTGGCAAGTCAGACCTTGAAAACCAAAGTTGGTACCAAGGCCCAAACCCACCTCTGACCCTGGGCAAATACTACGTGGCAGTTCTCCCAATGTGGCCTCCAGCAGCAGCACTATCCCCAGGGATTATTTAGAAGTACCTTTTCTTCTTGCAGAGAGGGTACTGGGGATAGAAGCCAGGGCCCTGTGGATGTTAAATACCCATCCTG